GCACCTACATGGCAGCTAACAACTGTCCCTAACTCCAGTTTCAGGGAATCCGACAGCCTCTTCTGTCCTCCACAGGCATTGCACGACATGGGTGCACTCACCTACATGCAGGCAATACACACATACACATAAAAAAAATAATAAAATATTTTTAAAAAAAGAAAAAAAAGCTAGGCCTTGTGGTACACAATTGTAACCCTAGTGCTGGCAATTCAGAGAGAGGCAGAGCCCTGGGACTCACTGGCCAGCTAAGCCTAGCTTATGTGGTGGCTCTAGGCCAACAAGAGACCCTGTTTTTTTCATATTTTTTATTTATTATTTTTATTTTATGTGTATGAGTGTATTTCCTGTATGCATATAAATGCACCCATGTTGTGCGATGCCCAAGGAGGGCAGAAAAGGGCAGTTGGAGCCCCTAGAACTGGAGTTGGGATGGTTGTTAGCCCCCATGTGGGTACTGGGAATCAAACCCAGGTCCTCTGCAAGAGCAGTATGTGCTCTAACTGCTGAATCATCTTTCCAGCTTCTGTTTGTTTTTGAGACAGGATCTTGCCATGTAGCCAGGCTGTCCTCAAGCCCACAGTCTTCCCACTTCCATCTCTTCAGTGCTGGGATTACAGGTGTGTGTACTATGCCTGGAAGAAAATAAGTTTTGGGGGTTTTGTTTTGTTTTGTTTAAATGCTTTTTAAGTCATATTCCATTTTCCATGGCTATAGCAAAAACCCCAAAGGTGATTTATTTTGCCCACAGTGGAGGCCCAGGAGCATGGTACTGACCTCTTGGCTCTGAGGGCCTCAAGGCAGACAGCAATACAATTACAGGCACAAGAAGAGAGATCATACACAGCAAGACAGGAAGTCAGAAACCTGGAGAGCCAGCTTCACTCTTTCTCTAACAACTCTGGTGGGAGCTAAACAGGGCCCTTCTAAGGGCAATCCTGCCACTCCCACTAGACCTCACCTCTTAAAGTTTCCACCACCTGCGTGTAAAGAGTCCAGGCTGGCCTTAAATTTGGGATTGAGTCTCCTGTTTCATCCTCCTGAGTGCTGGCATGGCAAATGTGTGCCAACAGGTCAGCTTCCCTAGCACCTCATTACACTGCCATACTGAGAACCAAAATTCCAACTCAGGAACCTTTTGGGACACACTCTAGCCACATCCAGGTTGTGGAAGTCCTGAAAGATTGCAAGACTCACTGCTTTTCCTAAGAAAGCATGCTCCAAATTGATTCCATCTTCTCTTCATGTTAAGAACATGTTTAAAATTTCTTGCATAAACTTCCCAACACTCTGTTTTTGAATTTTTGAGACAGGGAATAGCTATGAGCCAGGTGGCCTCAAACATGAAGCAATCCTCCTGTCATCAATGCCACTCAGTATCACTTATTTCATGACGACACAGAGCTGTGACCTGAGCACAGTTTTTTCACTTTGGGCGAATTTGTTTTTTGAGGTAGGACTTCCTGTTGCCCAGGCTGGCCTTGAATTCACTGTGCAGCCAAGGATGACTTTGACCTTCTGATCCTCCTGCCTCTACCTTCGAGTACTTTGATGACAGGCCTGTGTTCCCAAGCCTGGATTATGTAGTACTGGGGATTGAATTAAGGGCCTCCTGCATGCTAGGCAAACATTCTCTCAACTGAACTACATTCCCAGCCCTCTAATTTCTTTAAAATAAATTCTGAGTTGGAGGCTGGAGAGATGATTCAATGGTTAAGAATACTGGCTGCTCTTGCAGAAGACCCAGATTTGGTTCCCAGCATCCACATGGTGGCTAGCAACCATCTATAATTTCAGTTCCAATGGATCCATGCCCTCTTCTGGCCTCCTTGGGCATTGCATGACATGGGTACACTTATATACATGCAGGCAAAACACTTATACATATAAAATAATTTAAAGAAATTCTGAGGAAAATGATATAATTTTGTAACTCAAGGTTTATTTGTACATTCTGCCTTTTTTTGAAACTTAAAATCATGTAAATAGATGAATATTTAAACTGATTAGGATCAGAACTTTGATTTGGTTTTGATTTGCTGTTGTTTTTGTTTGAGATAGGGTCTCATTCTGTAGACCAGCCTGGCCTTGGACTTGTAGCGATCTCCTGCCTCGGCATCCTGAGTACTGGGATTACAGGCTTGCACCACCACACCTGATTAGGACTTTGTTTTCTATATAATCCACAATTAAATCTGTATCCAGACAGTGAAAATTTGACCCTTTTGTTGTTGTTTTGACATGAAGTCTCACATAGCCCAAGCTGGTCTTGAACTCCAGATCCTCCTACCTCTGAAATGCTGATTACAAGCATGTGCCAGCCACCACGCCCAACTTTGATCTATTATTTTTTTTTTAAAAAGGAGTGAAGTGGGGCTAGAGAGATGGCTCAGCAGTTAAGAGCACTGACTGCTCTTGCAGAGGACCTGGGTTCGATTCTCAGCACCCACATGGTGGCTACAAACTATCCTTAACTCCAGTTCCAGGGGAATCGAAGCCCTTGTCTGACCTCCGCGGCACTGCACGACACGAGCGCACTCACATACATACACATAAAATAAAAAATAATAAGTAAAAAGGAGTGAAGTAAGCATATCCTAACATGGAAGGCTATGGCATGCTGTTTAATGGGGGGGGGAGCAATGAGCAAATTGCAGGGAGCTGTATATACAATGTTCTCTGCATAATGTAACCAGATGAAGACTGTCTTGCTCCATTTTTCTGTTACTGCAACTGAGTATCACAAAGTGAGTGACTTATAAAGAAAAGAAATTCATGTCTTCCAGTTCTGGAGGCTGGGACATCTCAGAGAACAGTGCCAATGTCCACTGACAGCCTCATCATAACATGGCAGAAACCATCTTGTGGTGCAGCAGAGCAAGCAGGGTAGAGTTCAATTTTGTTACAAAGTCAAATTCACTCAGGAGAGAGAGCCCACATGTCCCAAAGGGCCTGCTTTCTATACTGCTGAGCTAGGAACCATTTTCAACATTGGAGTTCCAACAACTTACCCAAACCCCGGTAAGTACTGTGTACTTCCTAAGAACACGCCCCTTGAGTCCACAAGTTCACATAAGTACACTGATGGGGCTAGAAAACTATGCACAACCACCCACTACTGTCACCTTGGAGAGTTCCAGGGCATTTGGGAACTGCTGCTTTATCTATCAGGTTTCTAGCTCTCACAGTGAAACGTTTGGTTATGTATAGAAAAATTAATTTTTAAAAACAGCCATGGAAACATTTATGAGGCCACTATCTACTTCAGGCTGTGCCAGCTAAGCGATTCTTGGACACTTCTGTTACACTGACCTTTACTTATGGTTACTGATACTTTAAATTATGTTACCCTTCTGCTCAAAAGTCCCTAAGGCTCCCCATGGCCTTGAGAATAAAACCCAACTCCTCGTCCTGGTGCCAGACAGGATATGCACCCAGCCCTCACATCACCACCCTAGCAGCACCCTGGAGTCCCACTGCCAGGTCTTTCCCTTTTCCTGTCCCCTCTCCCTACTCAAATCCTGCTCATGGTTTGAGGTCCTGCTGCGACTGCTCAGCCTCTGTGGCCAAAGCCCAACTGTCCCTGATCCTCATTTGCTTCTTGCCTTCCAAGTTCAGCAACTTCCTTGGAGATCATGCAGGGCATGGTTACCTCCTTTAAACTGTAACTGTTGCCAAGGGGAAGGTTTACTTTGTAAGTTTTATTACCTCAATTATTTCTCATAACAGTCCTGGGAGTCGATACCATAATTACTATTGCTGTTTTATTGAGCAGATGGTCAAGCTCAGGCAGGTTAAGGGCCCTGCACAAGAGCAAATGAATGCCTGTAAGTGCCTTGATGTGTTAGTACCCAGGTTTGGTTTGTTTGCTTTTGTTTTATGAGACAGGATCTCATGAAGCCCAGGCTGGCCTCAAACTTGCTATATAATTTAGGATGATCTTGAACTCCTGATCCTCTTGCCTCTACCTCCTGAGTTTTTGGATTACAGACATGAGCCACCTCCTCTGGTGGCAGTATCTAGGTTTTTTTGTTTTGTTTGTTTTCTGAGACGAGGTCTTAGTAGGTGACCCAGGCTCACTTCAAACCCCCAATCTTCCTGCCTCAGTCTCCCAAGTGCTAAATTAGCACACCCAGCTATGTCAGTCCTTTATAAAGTGACAGTAGTAAACGAGCCCCCCCCCATACTTGTTTTCAGGGAAGGGTCATTCCAGAAAGGGCCAGGAGGCACTCTAGGCAGCAACTACAGGAATGAGGAGGAAACCCAAGGCTTAGCAAAATTAGGTGACTTGCTCAAGGTCACACAAGTTTAAAGAAGCTGGCTTTGGTGTTCACCTTCTACCATTTCCATCCCCACTTGACCCCATAATTCTCTTCCAGGGGGCAGGGGACAGACTGTGGTTAGTGAGATGAATTGCAGTCAGCAAATTAGTAAGTGCTGGGTCTAGGGGACTCCAGAAAGATCAGTCTGTATGTACTCAAACACACATGCCCTGTCACTGTAGGCACTCTGTGCGTGTCTTCCAGCCAGTCCTACCCAGTTCACCTGTAAGCCCTGGGTGAAAGTTACTGGGCACAAACCCCCAAAGGCTGATGATGAGAGGCGGCCATTCCTCAAAGGAGGCCAATAAGGCATGTGAGGGCAGCCAGGCACCCAGCAGGCCATGGTAGTGGTTGCCTTCTGGCCACTCACCCTGCAGTAGCGGGGTGGGGGTGCTGGTGGGAGCTCAGTGAGAAGCTTAGCAGCTCCATCCAGATGCGAATTGTCTTTCCCACACTTCCTGGGCCGAAGGGGCTTCCATTAGAGCCTTCAAGGAGTCAGAATCCACACCTCCGCAAATGGGCCCGCTTTCCCAGGGCCCCCCTGCCCAGACCTTCCCTGGGCTCTGTGGGTTTTGACACTTCTCTGCAACCTGGTGGGGGGGCCACCTCACACCTTTGCTTCAGATAAAAGCTAAAGTCTGGAGGTGACTGGTCCAGCTTCCCAGAGTCACACCCGCCATGGCCCAGTCGCCGCCGCCTCCTCCTCCGCAGAGCCTCCTGGGCCTCGACCACTGGGTGTTTTCCCAGGGCTGGGGCTGGCCGGGCCACTCGGACTCCACGTCCCCGGCCTCCTCCTCGGATTCATCCGGCTCATGTCCCTGCGACGGCTCCCGGGGCTCCTCGCAGCCCGCGGCCCCCTATCGCAGCGCGCGTGCAACCCAGGTAGCCCCTACGGCGCCCCTCCGACGCGCGAGGCCGGCGCCAGCGGGAGGACAGCGGCAGAGCGCCAGCGAACGTGAGAAGTTGCGCATGCGCACGCTCGCCCGAGCGCTACACGAGCTGCGCCGCTTTCTGCCCCCTTCGGTGGCGCCTGCCGGCCAGAGCCTAACCAAGATTGAGACGCTGCGCTTGGCCATCCGCTACATCAGTCACCTGTCGGCCTTGCTAGGCCTCAGCGATGACAGCCTGCGGCGCCGGCGCCGGCGGAGCGCGGATGCAGGGTCCCCTCGCGGCTGCCCACTGTGCCCTGACAGCGGTCCCGCCCAGGCACAGATGCTAGGCCCTGGCCTGGGATCAGCTGCTTGCAGTGGGGTGCCCTGGGGATCCCCATCTGCTTGCCCTGGAGTCCGAGCCTCGCCTGACAACCTGGGGAGCAGGATCTCTGACGTAGGTCCTTGGGTGACACCCCCTTACCGTCACCAAATACAGTCACCCTTGCACCAGCCCTTAGGGAACGCCCCTGACACGTCTCACTGGACACCACTCCAAGTCTGTCCTGGGACGCAGACATCCCTAGAGGCTGAGAACAAGGCTGGACACTGGACACCACCCACTGCACCTGCAGATGTGGCTGAAATGTACCAGGTAGGTCCCAAGGCCTTTTCCACTTCCTGAGTGGTCCCCAGATTTCAGTAGTCAATGGAGTGGGTAGGTAGTCTCTATTTCTGTACAAGGTCTCACTACTTTTCAAGTTCCAGGTTATCCAATGGAGGGGAGGATGGAAGGAGCCTTAACACCTGTAGGGGAAGAGATGAGGCCCTGGGCAGTTCAAGTCACCACCACAATTCCAGTCACTGTTAGACAGCAGTCTCCGCAGCCTAGGGAAAAGAGGCTAGCCCTGGGCCTTACACAGAGGCCAGGGTGGAAGGTGAGGGGCTGCACTGTCAGGAAATTCTAAGTCTTATGTTAAGGGCTCAGCGCAGGAGGGAGGCCCAGGGGTAAAGACAGTACTTCCTGATAGACAAGCCTGGAGTTGGCGTCCTTCATGTTTTCTTTATAAATGACTTATGATCCATGAAAGATCATATTAATAAAATAAAACTCACTATCTGCCTTACACTAATCTTTACACCTTACATGTGTATCCATGTATTTAGCCCTTATAATGCAAGCCTATTTACGTCCCCATTTCACAGAGATAAAGGACCCTCTCATAGCTAGTGAGTAGCAGAGCTGGGATTTGAAGGTTGGCATTCCATCTCCAGAGTCAGTATTCTTGGCTGCTTTGTTCCACTGCACCTTTGCTCTGGGGCTACCACCACTGCCAGCTAAACCTTGGGGGAACCAGCCAAGGTTCCAGCCAAGGTTAGTGGCCCACTAACAAATTTCTCTTGTTCCTCATGCAGAGTCTCTCTGTGTCTCCGGAATCCTGCCTGTCCCAGGGAAGCCCACCCCTTGCGCCACGCCCTTCATGTCAGAGACTCCAGCCTGAACCTCCATGGGGGTGCTGGGACCACAATGCAGAGGTGCTCTCCAACTCTGACAACCAGGGTTCTAACCCCACCTTCCAGCTCCCTGCAGCCAGCCTCATCCCCAGCTCAGGCCTGCGGCTTAGTGGCTGTCAGGAACTTTGGCAAGAAGATCTGGAAAGACCCTCGCTGAATATCCTCTTCTAATGGCCTTGGCTGCGCCCTGTCAGCCTGGAGTCCTGCCTGTCCTGAGAGCGCTTTCTTCATTTGCCTCTTCTGTGGCATTTTGAGCTTTCTTAGCCAAGAATCCTCTTTCCCCAAGTGATGCCTTCTGTGGATGCCTTTATGTCTAGAACAGATAGTGGGTACCTTCCCAGACTGGAGGGGAGCTGTGGCAGTGCCCTTCACTGCTAGGCACCTCTCACAAGACTCAGTGCTCTATAAAGCACAGTCTGAGCTGCTCTGAGAACAGTGTGGGCTGGGCCTGGGGGTGGGGGGAGGCAGGGACAGCTCCATGTTCTGCTTGCTGATGACACCTGCAGGATCCTATATGCTTGTTTTATAATTAAAAAAGAAAAAAAAACAACAAAGATTTGTTTTGTTCTGACTTTTATTAATCTTCATTTTTCTTGATTCTGGAGAAAGAAAAATGTTTCCTTTCTGTGGGGAGCAAGCCTGCCACTCCTCTCCTCCAATCCAGGCCTGCCAAGGTCAACATGAACCCTTGCTTGTCAGATTGGCAGTATTAGGGCACAGAGGCTAGGGGCTCTGCAGTGCAAGGTGGGCAGACCTTTGGTGTGGGTGTGTACAGTCATGGACAAACAAGGCTGGAAATGGGGATGCTAGGCACCTGGGGTGGGGGTGAAGGGTGAGGGATGGGCTCTCACAATTATAAGAAATATTTTTCAAAGAATTTTGAGTGGTCCCTCTGGACTAGACCCACTTTTAGTTTGTGAGCTGCCATGGCAAAATGCCACTGAGTGGGTGACTTGAGGGACAGAGACTTATGTTCTCAGTTCTGGAGGCTAGAAGCCCAAGACCAAGGTGTAGGCTGTCTTGGCTGCTTCTGAGGCCTTTCCCCTTAGCTTGCAGACAGCCTTCTCATTTTGACTGTGTCCTAGTCTCTTACCAGTCATACTAAGTGAGAATCCCATTTAATGATGCATGTGTGTGTGTATGTGTGTGTAGTGGTGCATGTACATGAGTGTATGGGTGCATACTCATGCATGCACCTGTGGAGGCCAGAGCAGGACTTGGGTGTCTTTATCTCTGCTCGCTGCCTTATTGCCTTGAGACACTCTTTCATGGAACCAGAAGCTCACCAGTCCAGCAAGCTCTCTGGTTCAGCCCATCTCTGCCCCCCAATGCTGAGGATACAGGTACACCAGTCATGCTCAGCTTTTTATGTGTGTGCTGGAGATTCAAACTCAAGTCCTTAGGCTTGCTGAACAAGTAGTCTCTACCCACTGAGCCATTTCTCTTCCACCCCCCTCCATTTAATCTTAATCCCCTCTTATAATATCTGTCTCCAAATTCAGTCATATTCTGAGGTACTAGATGTTAGGACTTGTATTAATTTTCTGTCACTGTAATAAAATACCTGAGATCATCAAATTAAAAAGAGAAAACGTTGTCGGGCATGGTGGCCCACGCCTTTAATCCCAGCACTCCAGAGGCAGAGGCAGGCAGATCTCTGTGAGTTCGAGGCCAGCCTGGTCTATATAGTGAGTTCCAGGACAGCTGGGGCTACAGGGAGACCCTGTCTCAAAAAGACCAAAAAAAAAAAAAAAAAAAAAAAAAAAAAAAAAAAAAAAAAAAAAGAAAGAGAAAAAATGTTTATTTTCGTAGTTCAGTCTAGATTAACTTGCCCTGTTGTTTTTGACCCCTGGTGAGGGCAGAGGTCATCACAAGAATGCACTACAGAGCAGAACCCTTACTCTAGGACCTTAGAAGGAAAGAAAGGAAGAGATACGTGTCCCAAAATCTCCCTTGGTGGGCATGACCCCAATAACCGCAGGCCCTCCTGAAAAGCACCCCTACCACCCATTTGCACCTTCCTGGGCACCAAACCTTCCACACACGGACCTGTGAGGAGACATGTAAAATCTAAACCATAGTAGGACTTCAACATGAGTTTCAAAATCTAAACATAGCAGGGCTTCAACATGAGTTTTAGGGGGGCCCAGGTCAGCTCTGGTATTAAGTGGCAATGAAAAATTACTCCCCAACAAATAAGGTGCATTAATGGAAAACCCATGGTCAGTGTCCAGGTCCTAAATGCCAAATGCAAGGATGAGGTCTGTACAGGGGCTTAGGGACCATTTCATTCTCCAGTTATTGGCCCATCAGTCCTGCTGCCTTGATTTGGGCATCTTCAGAAAGCCCAGCAGGCTCTAGGGAAAAGATGACATGGTCTATCAGTAAAGGTTCCCATGAACCTGGGAGTCAGCAGTTGTGTGACTTCCTTCTGCATCTGCTGACTTGGAGAGGGAACAGTTGTAGAAATGACCTTAGAGTCAGGCACTAAAGGATGTGTGGAGTTTGCCAAGAGGAATGAAGGAAAAGTGACTTGGGCAGAAGGAACAGCAAGCCTAAGCTAGATCAGAGGCAGCCAATGCTCTGAGTTGACTGCACGAGGAACAGAGAGTTGAAGGCACCTCAGGGGTGAGCTGATCAGGCGGGCTCTTAGGCCCTTTTACTACTTCATTAAAAGAGAAAAAGGAGGAGGAGGAGGACGACGAGGAGGAAGAGGAAGAGGAGGAGGAGGAAGAGGAGGAGGAGGAGGAAGCCATTGGGGCTGAAGATGTAGCTCTTTTGGTGGAGGGCTTGCTTCATATGCAGGAGGCCCTAGATTCAATCCCAAACATTGTATAAAACTTGGTGCATACCTGTAATCCTAGCACTTGGGAGCTAGAAGCAATAAGATCATCTTTAGCTACATATCAAGTTCGAGGTCAGCCTGGGATATGTCAGACCCTGTCTTAAAAAGAACTAAAAAGAGCCGGGCATGGTGGTGCATGCCTTTAATCCCAGCACTTGGGAGGCAGAGGCAGGTGGATCTCTATGAGTTCGAGGCCAGCCTGGTCTATATAGTGAGTTCCAGGCCAGCTGGGGGTACAGGGAAACCCTGTTTCAAAAAGACCATAAAAAAAAAAAAGAACTAAAAAGAAACCAGGAAGGGAGGGAGGTCACCAAAACAGACCAAGGTGAGAGGAGAGAAGCTACTGATTCCCTGGCCAAGCTCTTGACCTCACACTGGGCCTCCCATCTGTGGGGCCTGACACTGCCTGTCATCAGACAAGCTACTTCTCTGAGTTTCCTCCTCTCTTAAAAGAACTGGCTTAAGTAATCTCTAAGATCCCTTCTTTCTTTAACTGGATGGAAGTAGTCTAGTTCCCCTGAGGGCTGTCACTGATCCTAGAAGGATGAGCAAAGTCCACATAATGTTACAGCAGATAGACAGACAGGCATGTGCACGCACGCGCATGCGTGCACACACACACACACACACCAACTTTAGTGCACTGTGCATTTGGCTCTTTCTTGCTGTGAAGACTTGGGTGAACTTTGAAACCCCTCTGAGTCTGTTTTCCAATCATGCAATGGGGACAGATGGTAACAGGCCCCACCTGCCTCTCAGGGTTCCTATACTTGGCACATAGGAAGTGCTCAAGAAATTGGTAGCTAAATAGGGTCACAAATACCTAAGAGATGACCTACTGGGGTGGCTCCCAAACTGGGTTGGGTGTTGAGCCATCTGGGCCCAGTGTCCCACTCAGAGTATGACTTGGCTCCCAAAATCCTGACCAAGGGACTCTGAGGCCCAGTCAGGTTTGGAAGCAATGGCTCTTTATCACATCTTCATTTTATAGCTGAGGAATCTGAGTCCCAGGAAGAGGAGCAAATTCCCATAGCCCACAGTTAGGTTTAAGCATCAAGTCCCTGACTAGATGTCTGGTGCATCCTCTTTCCCAAGAAGATCCATTGTCTTGGTGCCAGCCTTACCAGATTTGCTCCCAAGGAAGAGCTAGATAAGTGCCACAGCACCTGTGACTCCCACCTGCCTGGAGTGAGCTCTTGTTGGGACAGAGGAGAGTCCTTCCTGCCACAGGTCCTCAGCACTGAGGCCACCCTTAGACTGGACACTGGCTGAGTATTCTCCTAGGTCTTCCAATGGTCCTGTAGAATAGAGGACATGCTGGCTCTGCCTGTGGGCAGCCAAGGCCTGGCAGAGTGCACATTCAGCTCAGGTTCAAGGCTCACTGAAGACCCACCCAGCTAGGTTTACCCCCAGCTGTCAGATGCTGGTCTTAAGGACCATTGGGGCTACTGCTGCCCATCCTAGGCAACTCCATCCCTGCTGGCCGTGATGCATTAATAGGCAGAGCCTACATTCTAGTTAGCTATGCGATATATACATATATATATATATTTAAGATTTATTTTTGTTACTTTTAATTGTGTGTGTCTGTGTACATGAGTGCAGATACCCATGGGGGCCAGAGGCATTAGGTCCTTCTGGAGCTGGTAGTTCTGAGCCACCCAATGTGGATGGTGGGAACCAAACTCTGGGTTCTCTGCAAGAGCAGCAATCGCTGTTAGTGACTGGGCCATCTCTCCAACCTCTGCTCTGTAACCTGGACCAAGCTTCTGCAGCAGCCTTTGGCTGTGAGTATCTTTACCTCATGCCAGGGGACTGTCTCCTCCAGCCACACAGAGCCTCAAGAATGCCAGCATTTTAAGATGATAGATGACAGGAGCTTGTAAATGTGGATGTCAAAGACCCTGACCCAGTTCCAAATAAAGGCTAGGTTACCACTAACTTATACCCTTAGAGTCAGAGGCCAGTTCCTGTGCCACTGAGTCATGACTTAAACTTCGTACCTCAGTTTCTTTACCTAAAACTGAGATTAGGTCTGACTGCGTAGCTCAGCAGTAGAACAAGTGCCTAGCAAACACTAGATTTGATCCCCAGTATTGCAAAAATTATATAAATGAATAACTTAATTTTTTAAAATGGAGATAAAGACAGTTCTCCTTTAGCAACAACTAATGTGTCACACAAAAAGAGAGGGTCCAGGGCTAGAGAGATAGCGCAGTGGTTAAGAACACTGAGTGTTCTTGCAGAAGACACAGGTTTGAATCCCGTGGACAGCTAACAACTGTCCATAACTCCAGTTCCAGGGGATCCGACAGCCTCCTCTGTCCTCTGAGGGCATTGCACGACATGGGTGCACTTACCTACATGCAGGCAATACATGCATACACATTAAAATAAATTAAATAAATAAATAATTTTTTTTTTTTTTAAGAAAAGGTCCAGGTAGAATCCTAGTGGGCCAATTCTCCTCTGTGATGTTCCCGGAGCCTGGAACCCGCCAGAGACCCAAAATAGTGAGACTGGCCCTTCCCCCAGCTAGATGCCAGAAGATCAAGTGCCAGCCATGGCCGCTGCGTTCTGGCGACAGGAAGGGCTATCGCTGAGCAGAGAAGCCCGGAGATTTAATCTAGGGAAGCCCAGGGAGCCTCTTGACAGGGCCCCTTCACCTGGGCTGGCCTCAGGAGCTTGCCCCTCCCTGCTCTTTGATATGCAGATAGCGGGGTTGAGTCTGGAGCCTTCCTGGCCTCAGGATGGGACCACCTCCTTCCCACTTGGCCTGGAGGGAGGCTTCTGCAACCTAGAGCCAGGAGATGGGGAAAGTGATGTGAACCTTCTTTATAGTCCATACACCAGTCCCACAAGCTCCACTGCTGCCTGCACAGTAGGGTGAGGAAATTGAGGTTTGAGAGTTGAGATCACCTGCCCTAAACCCAGGGGCTGAGCTGGGTTTGTCTGCAAACAAACAAAATGCCAGGGAGATTGCTTAGTTAATAATGTCTGTTTCTTAAGTGTGAGTCCAAAGTCTGGCAAATAAGGTGGAGACAATCGAGGAAGACACTGTTGACTTCTGGCTTCCACACACATATGCATAAACACATGCACATACACAATGTATTACACACACACACACACACACACAAATGCACACAAAAGTAACAAAAAAGATTCCAGTTGGGACTGGCATGGTGGCAAACACCTTTGATCCTAGCACTCAGGAAGCAGAGACAGACAGATCTCTGTGAGTTGGAGGCTAGCCTGGGCTGCATAGTAAGAGACTGTTTCAAAAAAAGAAAGGAAGGGAGGGAGGGAGGGAGGGAGGGAGGGAGGAAGGAAGGAAAAGGGAAAGAGGAAACAGAAGGAACTAAAAAGATTCCAGCTAGGGCTAGGGAGCACTCTATGGGTAACAAGTGGTGACCCAAGGACCTCCACAACTCTGTCACCTCCTTCTTTCCTTCCCACCTTCCTGATGCTCCTGGTAGGGCTGAATTTGAATGAGCTTCCTATAGTCCAACACTGTCACTACTTGGGCTGAAAAGCACTGACTCCTCACTTGGGTTCACACTGTAGCAAAGTAGGATAAAAGACTGACTTCCTTTCTCGCCTTCTGCATCTGTTTCCTTTTTCTGTTTCCTGTTTTCTGGGTATGCTGGGCGTGGTGGTACATGCCTTTAAGTCCAGCACTTGGAAGGCAGAGGCAGGCAGATCTCTGTGAGATTGAGGCCAGTCTGGTCTACATGGCAAGTTCCAGCCCAGCTGGGGTTACAGGAAGACCCTGTCTTAAAAATCCAGTAAATAAATAAATAAACTCCAAAAAATACAAAAAACTTTGGACAAAGTGCTGGAGAAATGGCTCAGTCAGCAGAAAGCTTCCCACATAAACATGAGGACCTGAGTTCAGAGCCTCAGCACCTATGTGCTAGGCACTGTGACCTATACCTGGAATTGCAGGTCTGGGAGGTGGAGACAGGTAGAGTTCAACTGGTGAGCTCCAGGT